TTTTTTTCTTGTAAACACATACAATTGATTTCCTCCTGCCTATAGTGTTCATTATGTCCTTAGATTTTTATGTAAGAGTATCTATATTCTATGTTTCAAAACAAATCATAGTCTCAAGACTAACTTCTTTATCCCTATCCGTTCACAACAATGGAGGAACCCTTACTTACTTTTGATTGTATCTAAGTTGCGATATAATGACCTTGCATATTTGATAGTGTATCTAGGCTATACAATATGTTGCTTTCGAGAAAAGACCTATGATTCAATATTTTTTATGTTTTTACTACATGCCATGAAAATTTTACAAAACTTAATGTTAGTTGTCGACTACTTAACAAAACCATATCTTTTATACAAATATTGATGAAGATATGACATTGGTTATCAGACAATTCAAAAGATTCATGAAGGATGAAAAGCAATAAGATTTTCACTTCAACAAAAAACACCTTTTACCTCGGTTGAAAAAGAGGTTTTACCTTAGTTTCACAGACAAGGTAACAAACGACATCCAGAAAAGTGCATAGTTTACCTCTCGATTTTAAAAAACCTGACGAGTATATCTAAAGGCCGTGTGTTTGACCTCTAGGGAGACCTTTTTGGAATTCTGAAATGACAAAAACACATGTCTCCTCGGTTGTGTTATTTCACCGACGGATATACCATAATTTCACCTTGATTATCTCATAAAACTGATGGGTAAAACAATTTTGAGTTTATTATATCTAATGTAGATTGCTTATTTCACTAAACTCTATACTAAACATATCAGCAGCATTAAATATTGAAAAATTGTGTTATATTTGAAGAACAACTTACATTGATTAGTGATTTTGAAGTATCGTACAACTCATCATTAATCTCACGCTCTTTTATGGTTAAAATCTCTTCAATGTTTCAAGTTCTTTATTCAACACTTCCTTTTCTACTAATTCATTCTTGAAAGCATAAAATTTAATGCTTTACAAAATGAACAAATATGGAGGAAAGTTGAATGAAAACTAGAAATATAGGAGAGATTTTAACGATAAAACAACATGAGATAAATGATGAGTTGCAAAATGCTAGAAAATTATTAATTAGTGTAAGATAAGTTTTAGATACAATATAATTTTCCATATGATTATTTCCAAAATCATCTCAATATCAATATCAATCTCAAACTCAAATGCAATAACAAAAACTAAAATACAACATATAGATTTAATAAACCTAACTCAAAAACAACAACTTATATTAAACAACAACATAAAAAAAAAATCAACAACATTAAGAACAACAACGTCAATAAACAACCTTTAGAGTTTAGGGTCTCAACAACAAGAATAACAACATTGAAAAAAACAACATCAATAAAAATAACAAAAATAACAATAAAACCTCTAGGGTTTTCAGATCTCAACAACAACAACAACACAAATATAACAATAACAACAACAATAACAACAACAACAACAATATGACAACAATATGAGTACTAATGTTTGACATATCAGATTCTTGAAGAAGAGGTAAAAGAAAATGATTTGGATATCAAAAGGTGAAATGAGAGCACTAAACACATAATATCTTCATATTGAAGATTATATGTGTTTATGGCTCTCGTTTTGTACGGCTCTTTTGTTAAGGACTCTTTATTAGGATTCTGTTTGTGTTGTTTCAACAAGTGAAACTGAATGCTACAAGCTAAAGCTATATATATCATAGAAACATATTCACCTTGGTTGGAAAGAAAACCAAGGTGAAAAGTGGCGTATTTTTAGATTAAAAATAAAATATTCAAGAAGGCGCCACTTTTAATGAGATAAAAATATAAACTGAAGTTGTTGGGATTTTAGGCATGTGCACTAAATAAGTTTACCCCTCGGTTTTCAAAATAACCGGCAGAATATATTGTATATTTAAAAAAAAACAGGGTGCGTCCAACCTTTATTTTTTGATACGTGAGGTGAAATCGTTATCATAAAATATATTATTTGTAGTCGTGTTTCAACATAAAAAGAAGGAATATTTTCATTTCTCCCAACTTGCTATCAATGTAGAAAGAAAAGTCATAAAAAGCTAAAAATGAAAAAAGAAAAATACCTCAAAAATAACAAAGAAGGCATACATAACTTGGAATGACAATGATATGGAATTCTCAAATGAACAAGAAAATGAGGAAGAACAAAACATTTGTGTTATGACAAATCATGAAGATGGCGAGGTAACTTCTTACTTTACTTATAATAATTATTTCACATATGTAAAAAGTAAGATAAAGAATAAAGGATATTAAACACAATATTTCTACCTCTGAGACTACTATTGTTTTCCTTGAAATAAAAAATAAAAAATTATTGGAAGAAAAAGATAACTTCCCTACCAACCATTCTCATGAGAGTATGGTTGAACCTTCCAAGTTTTAACAATGCAATATTTTAAAAAAAATAAAATTGATGATTTGCACAACACATTTGATAAGGGGAGAATACAACTTGTAAATGAGCCTCGATTAACATAGGGGAGAAGAAAACAGATGCGCTAAGCGAGCTACAAGACCCACTTAGCGAGAAGGCCATATCATAACCTTATATATAAGAGTGCTAGTTAGCTCAGTGAGGAGACTTGGTGGTAGATTTTTTTTTATTCTTCTACAAACACACTTAATACTAAAATCACAAAGGAGAAAAATGAGAGGAAGAATTAGGGCGGAAGCAGTGTCTGAGGAATCGTCATAGATGTTATTCAAGTTCTTTCTTCTAGGTCTTAATTGTAAGGCTACGATGAGTAAGTGTATCTAGTTTCCCTTTTGTTGGAGTTAGATGTAATCCTCCTAATACTCATGTATTAATCACGACCATGACATTCAATGAAGTTATTCTTATGTTTTAATATTGATGAACTCTTCGTACTTAATGCTTGTTTTGGATTAGCTACCTAAAACATGTTTTCATAATTTTTAATTATTATTTGAAAGGTACTTGTCATTACTAGATCCAAGTTTTTCGTCTACATGATTCTAAACTCTAGAGATAGATTAGGTTTAATATCTGCATGAACTATCGAAGCTTAATGTTATCGTATTGGTTAACATGTTGAGAAATTATCTATTAGGTGATATGATTGATCTCGCGTTGTTAACTCAGACCATAGGTATGATATAGAGTGACACATGATAATATTAATATCTAATTAGAATTGCATATTATTGATCAATGATAATACATGAGGATAAGTTAATGAAATCTAATCCCACCAAGGTTTCTCAACTGTTAACACAAAAGTCAATTTATTTTCTGTTTTTTTTTTTAAAACAACTTTGACAAACTAATTAAAATCATAAAAACTATTTAACGGTCTTTGAAACACAACAAGTCTCTGTGGAGACAATAAAAATACATACTCTCCGTTGTATGCTGACAACAACTTTCTCCTAAAAAATATTTTCTCCTTGTGGTTTATCCTAAAATAAACCTTCTAATTTCTCTCAAAATTTTATCTTAGAGTGTTATGCTAACACGGTCTGAGGTGTGTAAACACTAATAACATATAAAAGGTTGTTCTACTATAAAATTTAGGACTATGTTGTAATATATTAATTATTTTCACGTCCACAATACTTTTCTTCTACTCATTGTCAACAATAATTCCTACCCTATTTATTGATCTAAGTATGTTGGTGTACCAAAGCTTAAATATTAAGATGTCTAATCCTTCCACCTTTTCATTTATCCATATTGTTTCTTATAGACACATATAATTGATCTTTCTCCTACCTATAGTGTTCACTTTGTCCATTAATTTTCATGTAAGAATATCTATATGTTATGTTTTAAAATGAATTATAATTTATGAAACTAACTTTTTTATCCACACCCGTTCACACTAATATATAAACTCTTATTTATTTATTTATTTTATATCTTGGTGGCGATATAATGACCCGTTCACACTAATATATAAACTCTTATTTATTTATTTTATATCTTGGTGGCGATATAATGACCCGTTCACACTAATATATAAACTCTTATTTATTTATTTTATATCTTGGTGGCGATATAATGACGTTGCTCATTTTATAGTGAATCTAGATTATACAATCACCTGTTTTCGAGACAAGACCTAGAATTCACATTTTTAAGTTTTTTCTACATGCCATAAAAATTATACAAAATTTAATGTTAGCTATTGAGTACTTAACAATACCCTATTTTTAATCAGACTGAAGTTAGGATTATTTTTTATCCACAAGTAAATTTTATTATTTTCAATTTTAATTAATTCTATTTTAAAGTTTCTATTTCAATAAAATTATGTTTTAATTTTTTTTGGTTTAATACCCATAAAAGACCTAAAGTATCATTTAAAATATAATCATAGTGTAAAGTTTAAAGTTTATTTATGAATAAAAAATCGTTTTTTTAAAAGGAGCTATTTTTTGACACTAAAAAGTTCTTTTTAATCGGCTTAAATGTCTTTTCTGATATATATATATATATATATATATATATATATATATATATATATATATATATGGTGTTAGGTTGTTGCAGTAGGTTCTCTGATGCTCTAAATCTAATTAAGCTATCTCTTACTACTAAAATCTTTGTCTTCCTCATTTTCATATGATGATCTGCATCATAATAAACTAGCTTGAACACAGTGCTTTCTCATCCTTTATTTGAGCTTGGAATAGTATATGAATGTTTCAAAGTATCAGAAGAACAATGATGAACTTTAACCATAACAATCAATAGGGAAATTCTCAATTTAAAAGTTAAGATAATACTCAAAGTTCGATGTTACTTATCCATCTCATGGAGGAACTCCCACTAACTAGGAATCATTTTATTGAACACAAAAATCAGCTTTAAATAACTCACCAAAATTAAAGTACATATATATAGATCAGTGAAACTCAAAATAAATAAAAAAACAAAAAAAAAACATATAATTAAGACATATATATAGATCTCAAAAGTTAGGAGAAAACTAGGGAAAAACAAACAGAATCAAAATCCCCTAGACTGAGGACCACTGTTCCTATTATTGAACATAGAAGAGGAACCTTTCCTTGGACTTTGTTGTTTCTTACCATCATAATTATTACATGTTTCAATTTCCTGACCCTTATTTTGGTTATTACCTCTTTCCGCATCCAATTCCCTATACTTATACAAATACCTTTTGAGTGGCTCAGCATAATCATCAAACCCTAGGGTAGCCATGGCCCAACAAACATCGTCACCGTTCACCGTCTTGCGTTTCTCTTTGTGACACTTGTCAGAAGCTTCACCAGTTACAAAACTAACAAACTCTGAGACACACTCTTGCATGGTTTCTTTAGCTTCTTTGGAGATTTTTGCATTTGGAGGCAAGATTTGTTTCATGATGCGACCAACATTAGCTATTGGAAGCAAACGATCTTGTTCTTTGATTACATCGTGATCTTCATCAGATGTGAAATTGTTGGTGTACTTAAGGAGTTCTCTGTCTGGATTTTTTCCTTTGTTATCGCCCATCTTTTTAAGGAAAGAAGGGTTTACTTTAAACCTGTTAAAGACAGACACGTTGCTCTCAGCTGTTGTCAAGTGTGCTATTTATATTAGATATTTGGCTGTAATCAAGATTTTTAATTATAATTAAACACTAGTGCATGGAGAATCACCATTAATACTTTTTTAGGTATTTCAATTAAGGGTGTTAGTGATTTGGTTTGAATCGGTTTTTAGGTTTGAATTGGTTTTTTCAAAATCATTGTTTAAGAAAATACTTATTTTAAGTTATATTATGTTTTGATCGGTGAAAGGTGAAGATAAAACTTTTTGGGTGAGTTGGATTGAAGTCTACGAACCTAAACAATTAGGTGGATTAGGTGTTTGTGATCTCGGTTTGGTTAACTTGGCAAGCGTCCTTGGAGATTGCAATCTTACTCCTATGGAATGTGGTGGAATACCCTCAACTAAGTATGGGCCTTTAATGTTTCTTCTATTAGGAGAAGTAGGACTTCTAATCTTTGTTTTGTGTCTTTCTGATGTAAACGTGTTTCTCTTCTTGGGTCTAAAGTTGGTGTTTTCTCATAATAGTTTGGAAGAGCTCTAGAAGAAGGTGGAGTCTGACCTGCTTACTTCCATTTAGGATAATCCTTAGATGGGTGTTAAGTGCAAATTTTGACTTAAATTGAACCATCTTTTTTGACACTTTTCAACTCAATTCTCATGTTTTAAATAGATTTATTTCTTGTTCTTGTGTGATTCTTCAATTGTACTGCAAATACCTTTAGATTATTTGATGTGTGCGTTATTGTGGAGAATATAAGAATAAAACATCAATGATTAAGACACAAAGGAGTGGACAAGGAAGCCAAAGAAATGAAGAGGAATCAGCATGTTTGTTGGGCGAACAACAGCGAGCAGCAAGCGAATATTCGCTAGGCGAAGTAGCAGCGAAGTCCCAGCGAACCCTCTCAGATTAGAGGCAGAAAGAAAAGGACTATAAGTTTGTTGGGCGAACTTGTAGCGAGTATCCGTTGTGCGAAGTTTCAGTGAGGTTCCAACGAGGACGAAACCTTGGATGGCAGTAAGTAAAGGGCCATAAGTTCGTTGTGCAAATCTGTAGCGAAAAGGTTCGATGTGCGAAGAAGTGCTTGCACGGCGAACTCATATATTTTCCAAGGGCGGCTTAACTGTTCTTGAGGCACTTCAAGTGTCTAAAAGTAGTCTTCGCTGGGCGAATAAGGTGTTCACTAGGCAAACAGAACAAATTTTTGTTTTACTATATATGTACTTTTCTCACTTTTTAGAAATAACTTTTATAACTTTTGGAGAACTCTTGTACAACTTTCATAATATAGATCAAAATTTCATCTCTCTTCCTTTCTGTGCATATTCTAGAGAGAGAAATACAAACCCTAAGGAGGAGAAGGTAAGATCTTTAATCTCTTATTGGGTTTGAATGCAATCTTTTTGATACCTTATGTATTTCATCTAATATATGTTTGTGAACTAATTTTGATTGAATATTGATGTTATCTTTGATTTCTTATTTGTGGATCTTGACAAAATATTTTCAAATATTTGATCTAAGATACTCATCTATTAATGAGCAAACTTTTGACATAGTCTTGTAAGTTGATATTCACTAGTATCACTTTTATTTTATTGTGTTGATTAGTAGCATGAGAAGGATTAATACGGTAAAAATCGCGATAACATTTTTGACACGAATGGTATTGTGAGGATGCGTGATAATAGTGATGAAGAACTATGTTCACATACATTTGGAAAATTATTTGAATGCTTGTAAAAATGGTTAAGCGTATGTACGTATTCTGATCATGGCGTTTTATGTGAATCAATCATGAATCTGATATGGGTGTCATCTTTGAATACCCGTTAGGTTCTAGACTCTAGACATAGATTTAGGCCTAACATTTACAAGAATATCAGTTCTTAATGCTATGTGTTGTTGAGTTGCTTGAGACATCACCAATGAGGCAATACGATTATTCTCTCGACTTTGCGTTAGACATAACCTCGGTTATGAGTGATACGTGAGGATATCGGACGAATGATTGATTTGTGTTTAACTGGCTAGAAGAATGCATGTGTTATCAATTGATGAGATCCAATTCCAACAAGGCTCCATTTATATTTTAAGTCTTTACTTTATATTTTTCGTCTTTATTCAGCTTTTATCTATTATATATTTTATCTATTAACAAAATTTTCATAACAAGCTTAAAAATGTATAGACTATTGAACGGTCTTCTTTCCCTCGCACCGATCCCTGTGGAGAGGATATAAATCCCGAAGGAAATCCTTCCAAATTTAAATTTTTGCTTCTTGTCGCTTTACTGCAGTTCAAACGATGAAGTGAACTCCTTTTAGATTTCATATCCATTATCTTATTGCTAGCCATCATGATAGGACAGTAGGAGAGGTTATTGATTTAGAGGATGGGTCGGTGTTGTGGGATATTCAGTGGATAAGGTGCTTTTTTGTTTGGAAATAGGAATTAGTTTCTAACTTTTTCAGGTTGTTCAAAGGACTATCCTCTCTAAGAAGGTTGTTTGCTCGTGTTGGAGGAATGGAAAATTAAATGTTTAGTCAGTTGCTTCGACTTATAATATCCTTTTTCAAGCTACCCTTAATTGTGGCTTCCCGTTAAATATAGTGGATTAAATCATGCCCTTTATCTAGATTAATTGGACACTGTGCCAAGTTGTCATTTTTTTCTGGCAGCTTCTCTTAGATAAGTTATCTTAAAAAGAGAACTTATTTAAGTGTTATGTTTTGATTGATTCGAGTCTCATGTGGCTTTGTGTAGTGAAATTTTAGAGTCGGTTTTGTATATGTTTATTACTTGTGAAATGGTAATGTCTTTATGATATAGAATTTTTAAGTAGTTGGAGTCGTAATTTGTTCTTCCTACCAAATATTCTTATGTCACTTCTTGAGGTTTCTATATCTTTAGGTGGGTCATCTAGGATTTGAGGTGGCTTAGCTATGATCTAACATTCAGTGATGTTATCTATTTTGAAACTATAAAATGAAATTGCTTTTTCTGCTTTGCCCCTAAATGTGAAAGACTTTGAAGACATGGGCATTTTTTCAACTTGATAATGGTGTCTTGGAAGGCATGTGATTTAATCTTATCATTTCTCTAGGGGGCTAAAAAAACTCTATTTTCTCTTTGATTCAATATTAATTTGAGTGTCTAGCCCAATTCTAAAAGTGGAATATTTTTGTTGAATTGTTAGAGGATTATGTTTATGTTGACTCGGTATTGGGGTTTAGTTTTATTCTCTTGGTGAAGGAGTGGAGGTTTATTTTTCCCAAATTTTTCTCCTTTGCGGGTCCGCCTATTGGTGGCTTTTTTGTATGTATATTTTTTTCCTATCACTACTATAAATAATATATTTTATGACAAAGTTTTCACCTCAGCCAATGAAAAATTAACGTCAAATGACATGGAATGCACCATTTTATATTATTTTTTAAAAATTAAATCGTATCCCTCAGTTTTATAGAAAAATCGACAGAAAAATGTAGCTCAGAGTTTGAGTTTTGATTCCCAGCTCTTGCAATTTTATGCTTTATTTAGAACCAAAATGGTGCCCTTATTTTATACATCATCTTATCCCTCGGTTTTCTAGAAAACCGGCATGAAATATTGATAAATATTTTATTTAATTAAATTGAACCCAACGTTTACCTCAGTCGTGTCCTCTTGGTTTTTTCTAAAACCGAGATGTAAACTCTAAACAATATTTTATTCAGTCAATATTAAGTCTCACTCACTTTTCAATATGTCTCATAAAATTTTTGCGCCCTAGCGAAAGAAAGAAACACTATTTTTCTCCACCTAACGAGTTTAAACACCATTCTTTATCTTCTTCAAGGAGGAAGGAAACTTGAACCTCAAACCAACATTTTTCTTTGAATCTTTCGTCGTGTTTCTGGTATGTAAAACTTTCTCCATGATTGTACCAGTAATGTTGTTGTTGTTTTTGTTGTTGTTGTTGTTTTCGTTATTGTTGTTGTTGTTGTTGTCATTATTGTTGTCGTTGTTATCGTTATGGTTTTTGAGACCTAGGGTATAATGTAGTGTTGTTTTTTAGGTATTTGTAGTTGTTGTTGTTTTATTGATGTGGAATGTTCATTTTATTAATTGTGTATGATTTTTATTTTATTTTCAGAAGTTGTATGTGATTGTGGATCGTAGTTGGATGAAAGTCAATAGATTAAGTAAAGAGTATGAGAATGACGTGATTCAATTTTTTGAATTCGCAAAAAAAAAAAACTTTCTAACAATAATGTGAATTTTTGGTGTCCTTGTAAAAAATGTTGAAATACACAAAAACATCCAAGGGTGATATATTTAATCATTTAGGCTGTGATGGAATTATTCAAAAATATACCAAATGGGAATGGCATGGTGAAGTGATAAAACAAAGACTTGTGTCAGATAGAGTTGAATTTAATGAATTTATGAATGATACTCTTGAAGATATGATTCATGATATTGGAGTAGATGCTTTTAAGAAATCCCATGTGAAAGATGCCTTGCAAAGATAAATGGAAGAGTCGTTATATCTGGGATGAAATCTTTTTACAAGATTGTCAGCTTTTCTAAGACTATTTAGTCTTAAGTCAAGAGGTGGGTGGGCAGATAGACGTTTCAATAAATTGCTTGAATTGTTGCAAGAAATGCTTCCATAAGGTAACATGTTGTCGAACCATAATTAAGAGTCCAAGAAAATATTTTGTCCAATGGGTTTAGACTATGTCAAAATACATGCATGTCATAATGATTGCATATTATATAGGAAAGAATATGAAAACTTGGAGGAGCACCTAAGGTGGCGGGAGTCACGCAACAAGCAAAAAGACAGTGGTGTTGATGATGATGGTGGTGTAACTATAAAGGATGTTCTTTCCAAGGTGATGTGGTACCTACCAATAATTTAAAGGTTCAAGCGATTGTTTTCTAATGTAAATGATATAAAGAATACTAGATA